CCTTTGAAGATGGCGGAGTTGCTCAGAAGTGACACCGAGGATGAAGAATTCAGTGGATTTAGTGATTTTGAGATGGAGAGTTTGTTATGTTGTTTGTGCTATAGTTGGCTGAATCACTGTGCGATTTATAATCCGAAAAATATGGCATACAAAAATGCTACAAAACAACACACTACAGCTTCACAAACCTGATGTTAGGTGTAGTACTTTCATTAGCGGAGAACAGGCTGATTGCAGTGTGATAGTGCTCTAAAGGGGGAGTACTTGGCATGGTGAGTAAAGTGAGGGGAGCCTTCAAGCACCAAAAACTACTTCCAGCACTAAAGTAAAGTGTGATAACTTGAATGAATTGATTCATACAGGTGTCATTTTTGCATAAGAAAGGTATTTGTCAAAAAAAGAGTGCTGCAAAATACTAGAGAAAATGTTATAGTAACCATGTAATTGTCACTAGTTTGAAGAGCGAACTGTAGACTCACTATTGTCAATGTAAAAAGTCATCTGTCTTAATGAGGAAGAGGGGCTGAGAGCTAAACTTAATGTCAAAGTCATCTGCCATACAACTGGAATAATTGCTGCTTACTGCGCAATTAGCAGATCTGTCATTACATAATCAGTAAATACAATTATGTTATTACTGTAATTTACTCTTAATTAAAATGCTTATAGTGTGAGTTTACAGTGACTAAAAGAAATATTATGCTGCCTGGGAGTTGCTGAAGAAAGAATAGAAAAATATGTGTAAATGAAAAAGGATTAAGAACTTTTTGAGTAGAAGATCTGCCACCTGCTTGTCTCCATGGAGAAATTTTTACTCATAATATAGCACTGAAGTTATCTTTCTCCACTTTCTGATGAGTCCTTTTCAAGCTTTTTTGAACAGTAAAAACACCACTAATGGAATAAGATAAGTTGTATGCCATATCAGGGTATCCCCAGGTTTGACTACTCCAAATTTAAGACTATTTAAAGACATTTTTAAGACCACTTAAATGAAAATTAAGACCAACAGTGCACCCACTCCATACTCCATAATTCCATACCCATTCTAATAATGACCAACCACCTACCGTTACTATATCTAGAATCTAAGAGCCACTGTGGATTAAACCCAAACTTCCCCATGATTCATCGAACGTCTTCCTCCACTGTACTGATTGTTTACTCATTGCCGCCAGCACCAGAAACCAAAATACATGATTTCACGTTGTTGTTTAACATTGCACTACCGCCCAGTTGAGTATACAAAAAAATAGGCTAATGAAATTTAAGATCTTTGTGAAAAAAACAGACTTGGACAACATAATTTAAGGAACATGAAATTTAAGACCTTTTTTAAGACTTTAAGACTGCATATATTCCAGGCAAAGCAATAACATACTACACTATAGAGACAAGCAGCTGGCAGACCCTCCTCCAGAAAAGTTACATAACACATCTTTAATTTTTGCCTATTTTATATGTATTGGTATTTCGCAGTGACATCAAGCTGGGGGTGTTGTACATGTATTTCTATAGTGGTATGTTCAGCTGATACCATGGTGACACAAAGCACACATTAGCTGTCAAAAAAGTTTTAAGATGGTCCGAAAACTCAAAAAAAAATGCAAAATGGATTAAAAAAATAAACAAACAAAAACCCCACACATTTTCAGGAGCCCTATGAGGAAATACAAACAAAAAAGGTGAGAGTGCTATTTAGCTTGTGAAAGTAATTTTATGTGTGGGAGGCTTGTTTAAGAACACAGATCCTTCTAGGTAAATCAGCTCTTTCTGGTCAGACTGTGTTAAAGTGCATCTCAGATTAAGATCTTCAGACAGAGTAGAGCCTCCAGTTAGCTTCACACCCCAGGGAACGTTGATGACATGAGCTGCAAAGTATCAATATGACTTGACCCACTATTCCTGATGCCCGGCTCTGTATTCACCAAGCTCTTACAATCATATCATATTGTGTTTGTATAGACCACTACATCATCCAATTTCACACTTGACTTTTGTTGCCGGCTTACAAAGAAAAATCTTCTTATAACCCAGTTTAGTGTGCTGATCCTTCCCCCACCTCTGACTGAGCGAGCTTGTATATGTCATCTCTCTACTCTATAATCATGTCATCTGGGATCAAACTAAAGTAATACGCCCCCTGTGGAGTTCATCAGATCTGGCTTTTCTTTTGGGACAGTCCGAGTATTGATTTGTATCCCGAGAGCAGGCATCACTGGCTGACCTGCCCGGCCCTGGAAACTGAAGAGAATAGAGCGCTGTAATCCACCTTTAAGCTTCTTATTGTGAGGTGGTATACTGTAGTAGTTAATACGCTCATCTGTTCTTATTAGGATCTATTTATCACGCTATCAAGAATAATCCTAGCCTGCAAAAACATTTGCCTTACTAAAATGGTTGAGTTAACTTTGTAATTCTGATAACCTCACATAGAAAATTTTGTACTCTAGAGTCTATTAAACTAACAAATATGAAACCAGATCCGTGCATAAAAGTTCACATCTTACTGCGTCGCCTACTGAAAGTAATATATGATACGGGTTTTTCATTGCCGATGCCAATTGTTTCGAATCCAGAGTGACTGATGGCCGTTATGCAGGTAGATTTTGATAAATTCCTCTAAAAATATATTATTTGAAATTATAACTAACATAAAAAATGTCAAAACATTTTATGGTTCTGCATAATTTAACAATAATAAGCAAATCTTAATAGAAATTATTTTTAGACTTCCACAACCCTATTTTTACTGCCTACCCATAATGGAGCTGTCTAATCTCATTTTGTGAATTGCATCATTGCACTTAAGTGTTAAAATAAAGCTTTATGCAGCAATTGGTGAGCCTGAACCTTATATCCGCCTAGGCAGGAAATTTAAGGTTTAGTCCTGGTCCTCATCTGGCCCTGGTTTAGTCCTGATTTAATCCTAGTTCGGTCCTGGTTTAGTCCTGATTTAGTCCTAGTTGAGTCCTGGTTTAGTCCTGATTTAGACCTAATTTAGTAATGGTTCAGTCCTGATTTAGTTCTGGTTCCGTCCTGGTTCCATCCTGGTTCAGTCCTAGCTTAGTTCTGGTTTAGTCATAATCTAGTCCTAGTCTAGTTCTGGTCTAGTCGAGGTTTAGTCCTTGTCTGGTTTTGGTTTAGTCCTAGTATAGTTCAGCTTTATTCCTGGTGTAATCTTGGTCTTGGAAATGTGAACACACTTAAGAATACATAAACAACACATTTTACACTATCAAACATGGTATCTCGTGTGAATGACTAAATCAAAGTATTAGGGTTAGGGTTATATTTTTTACTCAAAATCTTAGGACTCCAGTTGTAATTAGGCCAAACTATAACTGAAATCTGCATTTAAACAAAGCCAGTGTTTAGCCTTGACAGACTGTGCAGTAATAGTGGAAAAGCATTACATCAGAGTTCCAGACTGTTAGAATATTTATGTTTGGAGAATACAGTACAAACAGAAAACAAGTCTTGATGTGACTTATTTAGAGTGTCCTTGTGTCTTTATGCATTTCAATGTAAGCATGCATGAATCAAATATGTTCTTTTCTCACTCCTTGTCATCAATTGTGTATAAGACAAGAGCAATTCTGAACATATTTATTTTTATTTGGAAAAAACGCTACTCAAGTACATGTCTGGTCATAACATCTGATTTATAATTTAAAGTTAAAGTAATTACAAGGACAAAAAAACTAATGCACATAATTTAGCATTTTCAAAGTACATAGCACAAAAAATGAATACTAAATCATATTTGAAGAAGAAACGCTGATTTGAACATTTGCTGTTTTGTGTTTCTGTTTACAAATGTCCAAACCATTTAAAATTAAAATCGACATAAATCTTTGTCACTTGTAGAGTAGAGTAACCAAAATCTTTACTCAAATAACTAAGTACACTAAAATATTACAAAAGTAGGAGTAAAAGTATGGTCTCTGGAAACTACTAAGTGCAAATTGTAAAAAAAATTAAAAATAAATAAAAAGCTTTTCAAATACATGTAACTGAGTACTATCCACCACTAGTTAAGCGTATATAAATGTTTGAGTGTACTGAGATCATAATGAGTGTTAGTTGATTAAGAGGCTTGTATCATCTTAATTGTGCAATTGTATTTGTTAACTCTCTTGCATTATGAATACCCTTTACTAGATCCCACCAGCACCAGTGCTTCTACATATTTGATGAAATTGTATTACTATAAAGGTTGTCAGCCCATTGAGGTCTGAAACAGAAATAGTACAGTACATTTTACTAGACCCACTACTACTTTCATTACCTTTTTTCTTTATTTAAAGGTCCTATGATATGCAAATTTGACTCTTGTGAGCTTTAAGCCATGGTATCATGTTGTTACCTCATCAAAACATACCTGGAGATGTGTTTTATTATCCTTTATTATTAGTGCGCATACATCTCCAAAGCTCAAAATGCTCCTTTTCTCTTTGTGGTGTCATAGCATTGAAGTAGTTTTCAAGTTAACATCTATGTTTTATTTTTAGTTCAGTAGAGATTGGCAATTTCAGGGCTCAAAAGTGTATGGAGTTTAAAACACAGTGGAGGACTCCCTGTTTTTCCACATGACATCGCAGAGTAGAACAGAGTGTTTTCTGTTTGAGAGAAGAACTCAGAATAGTAAAAAGTCAAAAATGCAGTGGTTTGTGTGTTAAACATGTGTGAATGAAACAAAACACAACTCCAGGTATGTGTGTGATGAGGAAACAACATTATAACATAGATCAGAAAATAGCCTATTATGGACCCTTTAACTAATTTCAGATGAAAATGATATTCAGAAATTAACTATTTTTTGAGAAAGCATAAACACCATTTTTTACATGCTCACTAACAATAATGATTCTCTTCGAGCAAATGCACCTAAGCAGTGTCCAAAGCAGAGAACACATTGGTGAAGGTGTAAAACTACCACAGCCTAAGACTGAGCTGCTCTTGGTGCAGCAGCATGTGTGTGGACAGTGATGCAGTACCTCTGGGGGTTGGGCTCGTTGTGCTTGTCTCTCTCGTGTTTAATCATTCGGTAGCGGCCGATTCGAACGTCCGGTCTGGACACCTTCATCCCGTTCAGAGTGATCCTGGAACAAACAAACCAAAACAGCAGCAATTAAACACAACGCTTCAACAGAGTGTGAGGAGAGGACAGGCCAGCAGAGAGGTGAGAGGATAAAGGAAAACTCAAGGAAACAGGGAGGAGATCATTATGTTCATATCAAGTCAAGTCACACAAAAAATGCCTTCAGTTGAAGAAATGAAAGACTGAAGTGAAACTTCTACCAGAAAACTTACATAGTGCACCTTTAACAGTGGAGAAATGCTGCTATAGGCCCACTGTTTTGTTTTGTTATTTATTCTGTGAATGACTGGTACATGTGACCACATTTATTTTGAACAAACAGTTGTAATTGTAAATAAATTAATTAATAAATAATTTAAACCATTTGAATAAAAAAAAAAAAAAAGAGTAATATAGACAAATCATGCATTTAACCATATGAAGTGTACATTCCTAAAAAATCTCTCTTAACAACATCAGTCATTTACATTAGTAGTAGGTGATGAAAGCCTGAACAAAATACCGCCCCTGTCCACTAGAAGTCTTAGATGCATTTCAGCCGACTAAGATTGAAGTTATTTGCTAAATCACTGACCTATGAGTTGATTTGAACTTTATGCAAAGGCCCAATCACAGGACACGATTTGACGCTTCAGAGGAACAGCTCCATGCAAATGCTTTGCCCCAAGGCTCCAACAACAGCTCTGCTCGGAGTGTCGGCAAGAGGAAGTGAAAAACTCCAACACAAAAACAGGATGTAGTTTTGGAGAAAAATAATATAATAAAATAAAAGAAATGGTTGATTATTATAATATTTTGTCAACTAAAATATTAAAAGTGAAAACTAACAAAACTAGAAATTACATAGTTAGTTAGTGAATTAAAAAACAAAACAAAACATTGGTTAATTTTGTCTTTTGATTCTCAAAACAGAATGAGCCTCACAACCTCTCACTTGGGTTTCCAGTTTCAGTGCTGAATTTCATTTGGTTTAAACCTAAAATCCCTCTCTCTGATCTGAATGGTCACTACCTAAAGTGTCCAGTGCCTCCAGACACTCATTATTCAGTGCTAGTGCAGCCTCTGCAGCTCAGTGAGGGAATTCTGGAGGTTCAGGTTTCACCTGAGGCAAGGCCTGTCTATTTACTGAGAATGAGAAAAACTTGTATGTGTCCTCGATCTGCAGGTTAAGGCTCTTGCAACCCATGCTCATTTGTGAGAGTTTCTTTGCTAAACCAGTGAGAGTGCAGGCTACATGCTGTACCTTTCGATTAATTTGAGTAAGCTTTGAATAAGAATAAAACTGAACAGAATAATTTGTAGCAATCTTGATCCTGCAATAGAATTTTACAAAATAAAAGTGACACTTTAACTACAATGAAAAGAATCCAGGACTTTGATATGAAGTTCATGGACTTGTGGGTTTGCAGTGTGAGGATAAGAGGGTGTTAAAGTTTAACCAAAGCGTGAGATCAGACTGAGAGCTTGAGTGGAGTCTAGAGTATTACTGTTCAGATGGAACAAGGCAAATATATCCACTGAGTGTTTGGGCTCAAGCAACAACAACTCAAGACAGTATCACAGATAACACTTAAGCCACACTGACAAACACCAACTGTTCTATCTCACCTCCACTCTGCTCACAAATGTACGCTGTTGTAGCATGTTGTGCTTTGAAAAGAAATCAACATGAAAAGGGGCTAGACTTGCTCAGATCCACTAAGCTTGGAAAGGCATGGTTTGATCTATGTGCTGTTGACAAAGTTACATCATAAAATAAGTTAAACACAAAACCAGGACTCACTCGGAACTGGAAGTCGGAAGGAAACAGCTCAGAGGCTTTTAGGAAAGTTTGAGACTGTACTAGTCCGGATCATACAGGAGCTCACCTGATGCAGATCGAGGCATTTGAGGAACTTGTAAAGTGCACATGTAATCTAAGATCTGTGACATGCTTTTTCATGCTATAGTCATTTTTTTTCTGATGTGCTTAAAACTGTATTGACTCCTTTTGCTTTTCTCATTTGGTGCTGTGAATGAAACTGCAATTCTATAAAGTTACAAGTTGCTCTCTAAACACAGATATATACAAAAGGTATATACTTGGGTATAGTTTATCAAACAGGGCTCCTAAGTGTATGTGTGTGTGTTGCGTATTGTGCTGACTTTGCCACTTTTTGGTTCACGACCCGTGCATCACTGCCTCTTAAACAAGGTGGTGATTTGCTGCTAATGATGCCACAACTGCCCTGTGGCTAACTCATGGACGCATAACTATCAATCTGCCCCCACCTCCATCAATCATGCTCTCACCACATTCACGTGGACCCAGATACAGTACGGAGCTGGAATTAAACCAAGATATCAATCAACCAAAATATAACTAAGCTTAATTCAGTAAATATGATTGATATTACATGCTTCAAATTCACATGCGCTGAATATCTAAGCATTAAAAATCAACATTTGAAGTCTTTCTCCCTCACGGTGCTGAAGTCCATTTTCTTGCATAACATCCCAGTATTAGAAAACGGGGACTTTATTTATTGGAGGACTCTGGGCCAAAAGGGCTGCATTTGCTCATCTGTCAATGTGACATTTTCTGAGATGAATAAATAGGACTCCAAAATTACTTTTCACAAACTGCACCGACAAACAACATGCAGAGAAAAATATCTGCTGCAAAATATACTTTTGTTCAGAGGTACATTTGTAAAGGAGCTGCTGTAGATTCATGTTTTATTAAAAGTGTATGGGTTTCAGAAAGATGAAGTATTAGGTTCATGACAATGTACAATTTAAAACATAATATTTTTCAAATGAGTTCTCAAAATGTGACATAACAGGAAGCGTGAATAGGATAGGGTTACTTTTTTCAGAACTTATTTATTTTGAATGACCCAAGATATGTTCTTGGGCAGATTTCAAAGATGATGGAGATGAATATTGCAACATGGCAGGTGAACAAAATGAATACAGGTATATGCTACAAATGAAGCTACAGTTTTGACATGGGGGCTCTGAAAGTTAAAATGCATTGTTTGTATTCTTGGTTGAATAAAGACTAATTGATAAAGTCAACTGAAAAGTGGGCGTGGCAAAAACTCTTAAAACTATTATGTATCTCCATGTATCTGACTCAAAATGCACTCAAATTATTATTTATGCAGAAAGAAGTACTAAGAAACAATGTATTTATATAAAGACAGATTAGACTTGCATCGTGAGTTTAATTTGCCTTTTTAAAATTCAGTCTTCAGCTAATTCACTCACTCCTTTCGACTGTTTAATCTACATAAAATAATAACTAATACAAATTTTGGCTCACAAAGACACCATTGACCGATTAATCAACTAAACAACAACTAATCTACAGCAATATTTACAAAGCTTGCTCAAAAGAGAGAGAGAGAAGAAGCGAAAGTACTTATTTACTCCCATTCAACTTCTCTAGAAATAAATACTCCATCTTTCAACTATTCACATACAAAACACATGAAGGTTTAACTAATTCCGTTCTCACTTTTATTATGCAGTAAGTACTTGTAATCAAACAGATCAGTCTTTCAAGAGAACAATACTGATACCTTGAAAAGAATCTTCTCAGATTTAAACTTGCTATGACTCCATCTCTTGTTTATAATAAGTTTATACTGGAAAAGTTTCAGTTTTATTGATCTGTGAACCCCCCATGGTATTCTTCTTGATTGGCTGCTGGAGAGAGTTTTTGCAGTGACATTATAAGTGGGCATAAGGCTGGACTCTAACGCTCTACAGGGAAGGGCCAGTGAAGGTGTTTTATATCACACTTTAGGGGGTTTTAAATGACACTTTTCATATAATTCTGGGCAATAGTTTTACAGAAAGTGGTAAAATGAGGTGGCTCGATGGAGATGGAGCTGTTACTGTCATTATAAGTAGAATAAAAGTCTCCTATAAATACACGGTTAATGATGGCAACTTCATTGGGCCTGGGCCAAAAAGCAGATGGTGGTTTTATGGTGTAAAACATGTCTGTAAATACTAATCAACCATTATATAAAACCACAAATAGATGAAGCGCAGTGTGCAACGTGATCATAGAACTTATGACCTAAAGTGCACTAGGACTGTTGCCATAGCAATCAGTGCCAAATCAATGAAGAGACAATCCTGCTTACAGTAAGGCCCCATCCACACTAGTGCGTATTTTTCGTTGCAGATGCAGTGTTCTTCCACACTAATCCACACTAATCAGATGAATTTGTGGGAGCTGGCAGCACCAGATCGTTTCGTCTCTGGAGTGGATCTGATCCGGCACTGTGTGGATGCCTGAAAACGCTGATACGCTGGTCTATGTGCCACGAAGTAATTCACCTCCAAAACACTAAGAGGCTAGAATATATGTCCATTCATATATACGGTCTATGCGTATGACCAGCAGATGTATAACCTTTGAAAAGTTTAACATGAACCATCTCCAAAGCAATAGAAGCACAGAACAGATTCATCATTAGCAGAACACACCTCTAACACAGAAAGAACACATATATTCCACTGAGTTGTGTCCTTTAGTCCAACAGAAGCTGACCACATCAGGGCACAAGGAGCGAGCTGTTTTTTGAGTGCTCAGTTTATGCAAATTAGCTATGCGGTTTTGAGTTTTGTTTCTGTAAAACGTAAACAAATATGTTCAAAGCTGTGTGGATAGGGAAAGCTTGCGGACACAGAAATGACATGTCTGGACACAAATCGTTTCCGTTATGATGATACGGTGATACGGTGATACAGTAATTTGTTTCAGTGTAAACGTAGCTTAAGAATGCATGTTTTTCAAGGTATTGAAAACAACCCAGTTAGACCCTCCACTGGAACAGCTACATAGTCGATGAAACATTCCATGAGAATTAAAAAAATTGCACACAGGCTTTATATTGTCTTCCATCTAAATCTACTGATGACAGATTATTGCAATTTAGGCAATACAAAATTTGAAGAACAATATATTAATATAGAGAAATCTAATGATAAATGATAGTACTG